GAGGGGAAGCAGAGAAGGTGGGGAAGCAGAGAAGGTGGGGAAGTAGATGAGGAGGTGACCGAGGAGGAGACCAAAGAAGAGGGAGAGATTGCGACGATGGTGGACTTCTTTGATTAGTTTGAGATGTTGACGAAGAAGGGATGGGAAAGCGACACTCAACGCGAGCGGAATGCCGCAAACCTAGCCGACAAGAGAATACGACCGACGACGTCGGCAATGATCTTAAATGACCATGTAAGCCACGAAAACTCAAGGCCGCATGTGTCGCAAACGCCAATGGAAGATTATTCTCGCTTTTTATTGATTTTCAAGGCTCTTAAACACTACCTGTCAGAATATCGATCCGCAGTTTGAACGTCAGCACAGACGTGCACTATACCTTCTTCGTTCGTCAATCACCCTTGCGTACCTTACTTATTTCCTCTGCATGTGCGACTCTTTCCTGTTTGTGACTTAGTCTGTTGAACTCATGTCCGGCATCGCGTTTGCTGCGGTCTTTGGCCCCGTCGAAAAGTTTTGCAAATTTATTCCAACACTAGGTACTGTATACTCTAAACTTGTATTGAGCTTCGCGTCCCAGGTGCTCCATGAGATATCCGCTGGCGCTCTCGGAGCAGGGTCCTTTATCCAAAAACACATTTTCTCGAAGAAAAATGAGATAGCAATGCCGTCGCGTCACCGACCGAGCGGGGTTCCGAGTCGTAGGCAATTGACCTTCACGTTGCCAGTAATGCGACAGCATGTATGAGGTTTTCCTTTGTTTCTGTTGCGTGCATACTGAGCACTTGCAAGGTCGGATCCATTGAGATTCAGGACTCCACAGGCTGCTGACCGTCAGCTTTCAGCCAAAGACCCTGTATTAGAATACCGGGTGTGGCTATGTTACGATCTCATTTACACTTGCACTTTATTCTGTATAAAGGTTGCTACGTCGCATCAGAAACATCATGACATCAATCGTGAGCCCTTGCCAAGCCGCAAGTCTTCGCGCATTCTCGTTCGCCGAAATAGACGCACTATACACAGATACGAGAACCATGTCAGGAGCGATCATGTTCTACGTAAGGTCGCAATGACACGAGATGGCGTGAGGAAGGATAGTGGCTATTAATAGATTGCGTTCCACGAACGTGAGAGTCACAAGTGAAAGGTGTTTTTTTGTGGAAGCGTACATGGAGTACATGGAAGAACGTTAGGAGAGAGGGCTAAGCGTGGCTGCCGTATGGGCATTGTGGGAGACGATGCGGTTTTTGCAGCTTCCGTGTCTAGTCTGAAATGCCGCCTCAAAGCGAGGAAATGGATGACTTGGAGCGCGACATGTGGAATGTGAGACCCAATTGCGAATCATTCGGGATTCCTACTCAGGTACATCTCCAGATACGATGTCTTCCAAAAACTCCGTTCCATTTCTACGATCGAGCATTGTGAGAGGCGAGACGTTGAATCAGACACGCTAGTACGACTAGTACAGAAACTGAAACACTTCACAGGCACTAGGGGACAGGTGCATGTCCTGAAACATATGAGAAATATTCTGTGCATGGGGGTGAGATGACCAGTGCCTTGTGTGAGCATTGTAGTATAAAACTAACCCAGATACGAGATCCCCACAACGTCGGCGTCAGGTCTCTTTCTCTCTCTCCCTCTTCCTTCTGTATTATCAGACTTGCGTCATGAACAAAGACCTCGCGGGACTCGGCCCAAGAGCTCGACTGAAAGATATCGCACGTGCCATCAAATTGCACGCGGAATCCCGGTCGCTTTACGATGTGAATCTTCCGCGTAGTGACCTTTACGTACTTCTTGCGAGCGATATTGACTGTATCGAGCACGAGGTGGCTAGATTGAGAGCACAGCTTAACGCATCATCACCCTCGCACATGATTCCACCCGACATTTGGATGAACATATTCCACCACTTGGCCGCTTTGATGCCTCACTCGTACGGCTACCAAGACTGCGGAGGCCTTGGGTGGATCAGGGCGGCCACTCACGTCTGCCGCTACTGGCGTAGCGTAGCAATGCAAGACAAAAGCCTGTGGCGTCACGCCACAGAGGCTCTGGGACCCGAATGGCTCGCTCTGATGTTATCCAGAAGCGGGTACAAACCTGAGGCGCTCGGTCTTTGGGGAGCCAAGGAAAGCATGTTCTTACGCCCCGGCGCACCACCGCTTTGTGAATTAACTCGCTTGAGACGGTTGTGCATCTTCATCGGCGATGCATACGGTCTGGATCCCCGCGTCTTAAGCCTTGAAGCACGTGACATTCACACCTTGAAAATACACGCACGGACTGTGGACGTGTTCGGCATAAGCGAGGGGAAGATAGCCCCGATCGATGTCACGTCCGTGGAAACCCTGTTTCCAAAGCTTCAAGCCCTTCTCATACACAACCTACCCTACGTCGTGCCAAGCCAAGTTTTTGGCCTCCGATCCACACTGTCACAATCTCTGGACACGCTCTCGCTCACGCTCAACCGATGGACGATCCACTCTCAAACGGATGTCTGCGTCCTCACAGAGTTTTTGCGGTCCCAAGCCACCCTTCGCTCCCTGACAATAAGGGGTTACTCCTTTGCTCTCAGTCAAGATGACATAGCCACCGAGACGGACGATAAGAAGGTTCATTGCCCGAACCTGAAATCTTTGCTCCTGGAAATCGAAGAAGATGAGAGTGCATTGGCCATTTTGGCCCGCCTATCCTTCCCGCATGACGCAAAAGTTGCCATCCGCACAACGTCACCGGTACGCGAAGAGCCTAGCAAAGCCTTTGAGAGCTTTCAGAGGCGTATGCTTGGCAGTGACTCTCCCATGTCGAACATGCGAGCGGCCATATGGTGCCGGTTGGATTCGAGGCCATGGTTCAAAGCGCAGATACGCGCGCCGAGGCACGCACACGAGAGGCCGGCTGTTGGCCTGTTTATGTATCGACGCGGATCAGCCGCTCGTCTTCTAACCAGTTTTGGGAAGTCCCCGTGCGATGGTGACCGCGCCGACTTTGAGCTGGTCTTTGAATGCAGACAGATTGACGGTGTACCGGAGCTCAACAGCATCGTACCTTTTGCATCATTCCGAGATGTAAGGTTCATGTCCATTCTTTCAACGGATGGCAAACCAAGTGTCGTGGACTACAAACGTGGCTGGAAACCTCTATTTGAGGTGGCACAATATTTGGAGTGGTTGCGCGTAGATGGTTCGGCGGTGGGTAGGTTGTTGCTGGACGCTTGCTGCGAAAAACCGGGCTCATGTCGGAGCGCGCTGGGAAGTGTCAAGGAGCTAGTTATGCTCGATATATCATCGCTCGCGCGGTGGTGGATTCCCATGTGCAGTCTTAAAGACTTGCTGTTGCACGATGACTTCTCCCTTGAAGCCATCACTGTCGAGGAAGACATGTTTGAACGAGCTACGAAAATCTTCGGCGACTCGCTTGATGTTCACCGAGAAGCGGACATGCGCCAGTTGTATTTTGACAGTAAATTATGAATGACCTTCCGAGCCGGGTGACAATTCTCGTACTACGGGACAGTGTTTGCACCTGAAGGGTGGTTTACTGTGTTTTTCCAACCGTGTGTCAAATTTCAATAAGAAGCTCGGACACCTTCTGACGATCCTTCTACTGGTTCTCAAGGCTCAGAGTCCCATAGGGCCGTCGTGAGAGCATGCGGGAATATCCAGTTGTCGTTGCTCACGTTGTAAAGGAGAGTAATACGAGAACAGGATACATGCTATGACAAAGTACAAGTCATATTACAGGCCGTACAATATCACTGAGCGAGCGCGGGGAGTTGCATTCGACGTTGGAAGCACTTGAAGCCAGGCTTCCGTCAAATCTTCCTCTCTCTTTCTGCTCCTTCCTATTGGTTCCTTCCTGAAGCCAAGTCTGGTCCAAGGATCACTGCCCACGGATATTTTTGGTAGCTCCCCTTTTCCATTCAAGTACCTGTTCAGCGAGTTCGGAGACGTTGGATGAGGGCAGGGACTGTTCCCAATGAACAACTCGTCCAATCGATGTTGAGGACTCTCGTTCGGGACGTCGACGTCGGATGCGAGATCGAGATAAAGTCCGAGACTCTTCAGATGCCGGTGACTCCCTACAATGCGCCCAACGGTTTGCATATTGTACATGGGCTGCGGCGCAGACCCGTCCCTACGCCAGCTGGGTGTAGGCGTTAACCAAAACGTAGACAGGTGTGGCAGCGGTTCGATGACGTGCAACAACTGCTCCTCAAGGAGATGAACCAGATTGCCATCGCTGATGGTCAATGTCTCCAACCAAGTCGCCGCTCTCAAGTGCACCAGTGACTGAAGGGTGACAGATTTCGCTGCGTCTTGCGCAGTGATGTTGCCGCGATCGAGTGCAATGAAAAGCACCTTTGCCTTCTGGCAATGTTGGCCAAAAACCTGCAGGAAGACGGACAGCTCTGCATCTGGATTTTTGGGAACGCCTGTGGCTCGTATGTAGATGGCAGTGAGCTGGGCGACCGGAAATCCGTCCGTAGAGAATAGTTTGGTGACGTTTGGAAGCGGCATGCACAGAGCCACGGTCGCGAGCGATATGAACGAGCCGGGCCTTAGCTGGACAGATGAATGTAGCGTCAAGGCAGTGCTGACATCTCCAAATTGGTCCCTGCACTGTTCGTTTGCGGACGTCATGGGCCAGGCGAGGGACTCCAGTGACTCCGCGCGCCCCAGAGTCTCGTATATTGCTTTGGTGAGGAAACATGGCGAAAGCGTAAGCTGTCTCAAACGTTCCAATCCGACACCCTCCAGAACCTTCACGAGGTGTTCCTGTAAGCCTGGCATGAGATCCTGACTCGGGACGCAGTTGGACGTGATCGTAAGCGAGGTCAAGTTGCACGCCAGAGAGCCCATATCCCTGCCGAAGAGTCGAAGAGGATAGTGCAAGTTGCCCACGGCACATGCAGGGTGTAGTCCACGAATCGATACTTCTGTGACACCGGCGTGCAAAAAGAGCGAGTGAAGAGCGTGAGTTTGGAAGGCGTCTGGGTTCCTCGGCATCTTCCACGTGAACTTTTTCAGGTGGGGGCACATCGGTTTGGATATAAATGGGCTCATAGAGATGTCGCTCGCGATGCCGGCGCTGAGCTCTAGGTCGTCGATCACATGGACGGCTCCCCGTATGATCTCGTGGGCTGCACAGTCTTGTTGGCCGGGTGGCTCTACAAAAACCTGCGCGAGTCAGAGAAGATGCGTGACAAGATGATTGAATAATGCCTACATTGTGTTTACTGGTGAGCTCCTTCAATGCTCCGACAAACGCGAGCGCCTTCGTTCCAGAAACAATCCTCCAGTATATCTTCACGGCGACCTGTCTCCAGTAACGATTGACCCATGTTGCACGCTGCTGAGACGCAGAATTGGCGTGTGACAGGATGATTGTCAAAATCTCCGGAACGCCAAGAGCCCTCTGGCGTGCACTCCCGGTCTGAGAGACAGGCCGATCACCTGAACTTGGTGGGGCCATGTCCGGTGAAGAGTCGAATGGGTGTTCCGTGTAAGCAACTCAAGGCAGAGTAGCCACCGGGTTTAGTCAATGCGCTGTAGGGACTCGGCAAGAGCACTGAGGCCGTCGTGGTGCGGGTAGAAGTCAATCTGCAAGATCGACGTGCGAGAACACGCGTGATTAACCACGAGAGAGATGGCACGTGCGCAGGACATGCACGCTGTCCACATGACGCTCAGGCTGCACCCTAGGGGCGCAGAGTGCCACTCTGTTCACAATCACAACCACACTGCATCTCGTCATCGGCTGTCCTGAAAGTGGTATACCACTTGTGGCACTTTGTGACTACCAGACAGGAATGTGCGGACACGTGTTATGGCTACAGTCCCTGGCAGTAAAATTTGCTCCAGGGCGACTTGAAGTCCACCCTACAGCTGAGATGCTTGTGGCACGCTCGTGACAGATAAGTGCTGTGCACAGCAAGCTGGCGCTTGAGACCAGTTACAATTGCCCGTCGCGGGTTACAGTCGCGCTTTCTCGGCGCCTGTGTAGGCGTTAAGAGACATTATGCGTCAATTACGGTCCGACGTCAGTATGAGAACAAGTATACTGTGGTTTCTCGACCATAAGCTGGCTAGGAAGGGGCTCAATCCTTATCTAGACGCGTCAAAGTAGACCTATAGGGCATTCGCAAGTACCCTATTAAACTGCCTTGTACTATCTGGAGAGTCCGGATCAAGCACCGGGTGGTAACGCCACTATACAAGCATTCGTTGGATTCGGCATGACGCATATCTCTATCGTGCTCATTCATTACCGGAGGGAGTATCAATTCTCGAATTAGCTCACCGCAGGCTAATAGTGTGTCTTTGTCTAACCTGGCCACTATCGGGCGGAATAGTATGCTGAAGTGCAATGTCGGTAGCCGCGGTGTTTTCTTTGGGTCATGCGGACTTCATAGCCAGTACATTGCAATGTCTTGCTCTTCCAGATAGCGTGACGTGCGGGAAGGTTAACACGAGGATTCAGGTTGCTCTGGGGTGCGATAGAGCATTGCTCGACGTTCATACAAGTTACCTCCAACCGTGGATCATGCTAATGGTAAGTGCTCAAACGGATTGACCTCCCTGTCAAGAGCAATGAGCTAGAAAGCAGTTGAGAGCGTATCGTGAGAGAATTCTCCCAGTGGTGTGCTACGCTGGCCCATGATCGCTCTTCCTCTGGCTACCGTCGAGGGGTGTCTGGTTCTTTCCGAGGCTCAGTTCTCCTTCAGGGACTGTCACACAAGATCCTACTCTGGCGATGAGATCCCACAATGCGCTACGATAAGGTTCCATCTTTGCACGAGCATTGAGAAACTAAACTCACGTACCTTTGAAATTCGCAAAGTTTTACAGGCATGTAGTCGCCGAGCGAGACTAAACTTTGCTCCTCTTGCCCCGATATAACTTGAACCTGACGGGCACAAATCCTCTGATTGCGCCCGTGCAAGCCACCGGGACTGACGCTGAGCACCGTTTCTTTTGCATGTAGCGCGCATGGCGCGCGAATGCCTATAGCACAACTTGCATAGCGCCTTGTCGGCTTCATTAGGACGCTCACTCACGGGTTCTCTGCCTGCAATTGCGTCAGCAATTCTCGCCCGCGTTCGCACGAGCATTGCTTGCGATAGTAAATATTTCTGCTCAAGCATATTTCAGGATCTTTTGCATCGTATTATGGGACCATCAAGTCGTGAGCGAGCCACCGCTGACCCCTCCCCCTCCCATCACTGCTCCTAGTCCACATACATTTGTTGTAGCACAGTCAGGCGCCTTTTGACGCCTTTCTCGTTTTCAGAGGGCTCACCTACGGCCAAGTGTGCGAGATCACCATCTACGGTAGCCTATTTCTGATGCAGTATCGGATAAGACAGTGCTAATACCTGGCCACGTTAACTTTACCACACGCCTTCCACGTCAAAAGCAAGGTTTGTGCAGCACAGATGACGCGCCGCGGCCGCTATGATGAACAGAGAGACTTGTCAGAGTCGTTGAGAATATTGTACCAGGCTATTTCGCACGCCTGTTTCAAATTTTCATACAATGGGCATGTTCCGGTGCACCTTTGAATGACGGAGATCAGCTACATGCAGCACAGACGTTGTATTTTCCGTCAGCAGCTTCGGACTCATATGCATATCACGTCACACGCAGTTTGACTCAAGCAAATGTGCAACGAAATGGCTCGTATAGGGTACTATGAATGGAGACTAGACGGCCTAAGGCAACAGCCAAATCAATGAGCTGGACGTGAGTGTACCTAGTTGGCACAACGTAACATGGTCAGTTTGAGATAGAGTTAGGTCATATTACATCCAATAGACGGGAAGGGTAAAGGCAAGGGAAGAGAGACGCAGCAGCATTTGCGTCGTCATTCAGTGAACGACAATCTCAACAGTGTCGGTGGCTAGAAGACCAAGTTCTGCGGGCTCTGAATTCTCGCGTCCGAAATGGTCCTGGACCTCACTTGACTGTATCGGGTGAATTTCGCCAAAGTGGGTGGCGGAGTAATCTTCAACATCGGTCTCTGACGCCACCCATTCTATTTCAAACTGACATGACTCGTCGTGCTTTCCGGTGCAACGTTTGAGCTCGTACGGAGTGACGTTAAGCGTCATGCGTTTGTTTCTCCCTCCCGAACTAAGGCATCTCACAAACTGACGCATTGCATCTAGCGCGTGTGGAAAGAGGGCACCAGAGAGGCAATCAAACGTTGCTGTAGACAAAGACGGGAGTCGAGGTTCGCCAACGACGTGGCCGTGCATCAGTCGTTCGAATAGCTCGACGATGAGCATACACTCTCTCATGATATGAGCTGACAAAGACGTGAGCGTCGAGAGGTGTCTGTCTGTTGACCATTTTCTTGACACGGATTGGTTGCTGACCACGACAGGCAGCGCCAGCTTTAGCCTTCGTATTTCAGGCTCTATTGCATGGTAATGAAGGACGGAATCGGCTACGCGCCACAAGAAAGCGAGTGCTTCCGATCGCTTCAGATAAGGATCTAGCGCCAGCTCGACGACACAAGGACCGTCTGCGTCGTACATATTCAACTCTGTACGAAAGCTCAGACTCGAGGCAAGCTCCACTCCCAATCGGGCCGTCCCGGAAAGGGCTGCGACGAGGACCTCGACAAGGGCTGTGTGAAGTTGTCGGATGTCATGGTCCTCGTATTCAAGTATCCTCACTCTCTTTTCCCAATCGTCAACATTGACCCAGACAAGAATATGTACGCGCGAGCGCGCGCGCGCATCAAAGGCGCGGAAGAATTCTAGCAAGTTCATAGGCGTGAGGTGTAACTCGATAGCCTCCAAATTGTTCAAAGGTGATCTATGGTTTCGGTCTGTGTCTGCGTCAATCAGAATGGTACATTCAATAATTCGCAACTCCCTTAGCTGCGACAGACTCTGCAGATGCTGGTGTAAGAGCTCAATGGGAAGCAGCGCATTCTTCAATGTGAGCGATTTTAGGGCGGTTCCTTGCCACAGTCGGAAGGTGCCCTCCTGTAGGTCATGATAGGCAATATAGACGGTCAAGATGTTGGATGCCGTGATGGGGAGCAGAAAATCAATCAAAGCTTCCGCTTCGCAGGAGTCGTTTACAAAATCACGAAGAAGAGGCGCAGTAACGTTGTCAGTCCCAAAAGAAATTCCGTGAAGAGCATGTTCCAGATCGGCGGTAGAGCCTAGGAGGCACTCGAGTGCATGTATCCTAAAGATTTCGGCGACCAAGATATTCAGCAAGGCTCTCACGCGAACGCGTCTGACATCAGGCTTGTGCGGTTCAGAGTGAAGGACTATAGCAAGCGGGGCAGTGCCAGCACGAGCCATGGCCAAGGAGTTCAGAGACATACTGTATGCAGACGACAACGTCGTTCATAAGCGCCTGTTGGCAAGAGACACTTGCCGCCACCTGTGACAAGCGTAGGTTATGATCCATGGTTGCTCTTGAGGGTAGATGGTGGCTTGGAATATCATTAGGAGTATGTTGTCCGGAAGGGCGTCAATCGAGACCGAGTGTTCTGGGTAAGAGTACATGATTTCGACCGGAGTAAAATGTGCGACTGGGCGAAAGGTATGTGGCTCGGGGTCTATAGTACTCTTTTCTGTGGACTCTAGACGGAAAGGAAGGAAGTCACATACTAATCCCGAGACCCGAATTTTCAACTCGAGCGCATCGACGAGAAATCCAGCCACACTGCGATAAGCGTAGATGCGTATCTCAGTTGTTTCCACGATGGTACAGCAGATGTGTGCATGATCTGCACTTAGATTGGATGATAGAAGTCGGGAACTCATTGTGGCGAGCTCTTATGAAAGAAGATGAACTTCTGCGAGCTGCAAATTTGAGTCAGACGACTGCGTGGGAGCGTCGGATACGGCATGCTCTTGTGTGCCAACATCCAAAGACTATACGCAGTTTTGGTCACATACTTATGTCGTAGCAAGCCAACGCGCATTTTGATTACGTGAGAGATCACCAGCCGACGGCGGGCGCCTAAAGGTCTCGTTCTAAACCGATGTGTGATGCCGGGCTCAATCGAACCAGCGGCATACTATACTGATAGATAAAAGAGAAGAGGGAGCAAACATGAGCCCGTATGAAGCCCGCATAAAACGTACTTCTCTACAAAGTCTCTCATGGCCAAACAAACGGCATGCGACCATTCATACGCTCATCGCTCGTCGCTGTTTCCGGAGAAATATCGGTGTTCCTTATGTTCTATGCGAGGCTCATTATGAGCAATCATAGTATCCAGCCGTGATCAGTCATAAGATTGATGCGCGGAGGTCCCATACTTGTTATCGATCCGGCAGGCGGAGATCTAGGTCATAGGATTGCTCGCCAGAAGTCCTAGAGGATTGATCTGGCTCCACTGTCTACTCCTTTATGAATCGCTGTTCTGAACTACGCGTAGTGGCAGCTGACGTTGCGGAGGCGCTTCTCCGCAGGCTTGAGGCACCCATCTCACACACGCTA